AAAACCATCAATTCAATTCCTCACCATCATCAAACATTCTTACAAGAATCACCTGCGATGCCTCAAAAACAAAATCTTGCTCGTAACCACCCAATACTCCCACACTCTCTCTCTCTAGATTCCAGCAATCAGCGATCAATATATGTTTCCCTTCAGATCCTTAAAAACGTTCAAGATTAAAATACTGAAATTTGAAATTTCTCAAACTCTGTTGGGAACAGAAACAGTAACCCACATAAACTCAAAAAACGAAAAAATTAAAAAAAAAAAAAATCTCAAATCTCACATTGGGGTTTCACGTACGATCACGTTTCTTTCTCCAGTGTTCGCGCAATTTCGAAAAAGGCAAGGAAGCGAAAAAGATGACTATGTCAGCAGCAACATACACAAACAATACACAGAGAGGCCTCAAAAATAGAGTCCCATGTGTTTACAGTCTCTCCCAAGACTTATCGCCTTTTTTTTTTTTTTTTTGTACAGAATTTTCAACGCAGTTATCATCACCAAATTTGGAGTGTTACAGTTGGAATTAGATTTTGATGACTCGCAAAAAATATGGGGAACTAAACTAATTCAATTCAATTTTCTGGAAGCTCTCGAACCCGAAAACACGGAAAATGGGGTCTCTCATTTAATCAAAAAATAAAAAATAAAATAAATAAATAAATTGCACACATGAAAACGCCAAAAGTCTTTTACACCAATAATAGTAAGAACAAAAAATATTAAATTATAACACCAATTTTTGACATAGATTAGCCACACAATATTTAAATACAAATTGAACACACTTGTGTATTAGTTAAAAAAATCTATTTTTACCGGTATTAGTTGACTCAAGTGGTGAGCAACTCGATGCACCTTAAGCAAGGTCTCAAGTTCGAGTCCTTATGGATGTAGAAAATCTTTGTTGGGAGACTCACCCACCACTGCCAGGTCACTTGGGTCGACCAATGAATTAGTTGGGGCATAGCTCCGGATACCGTGGTCGGCTACCGAAAAAAAAATATCTATTTTCTTTTGAAAAAGTTTTTATTAAAATTCTAATACTTTCATAAAATAAATTGCATTATTAATTATATTTATAATATAAATATTTGCAATTTTATAAATATTTGTTATAAATATTTATAGTAAATAATTGCATTATTAATTATATTTATAATATAAATATTTTTACTTTTATAAATATTTGTTATAAATATTTATAATAAAAAGTACTTGGTACATTTAGCCCATCGCCGGAGTTATCAAATCACAAGGCTATTAGACCATCTACAATGGGGTTGCTTAACTGATTGCTAAAAAATAAGCAATTGCTATTTAAGAAATTTCCCATTGTGAAGAGAAGACAAGCAATTGCTTAGGTTAAGCAATTGCTTGAATAAGGTATCCACAAGCAATCAAAATTTGTGGGCCAATGAACCAGAAAATGGCGCAAGACATGAGAGAGAGGATGAGAAATAGTAAATTTGTGGGGTATATATGGGACCCGCATGAGTTGCTTAATAAGCAATTCACCATTGTGGGATTGAATTGCTTGAATCATAGAATTGCTTAATGGCACAGGGTCCCACCAAAATAATACTAAAATATTCTAAGCAATTGCTTATTTAGACAACCATTGTACATGGTCTTATACATGCCTGATCGTATCAAATTAATTATCTATTAACGACTTTTGGTTTAACATCTATGTAGTATATATATAAATAACTTTTATATTTATTTATTGTACAAAACTAAATTACTCGGTATAATTAATTTAAAAATAATATAATTATATATCAATTTAAATATATAATCTATAAAGTCATTCTATGATATGAGTTAGAAAACTTATCATATTATAAAGGAGCCAAGATTGGTCTCGTGTCTTGGACCGGGTCTCTGTCTGTGTGGGTAGTTGCTCGTGGGTGTCGGCGTCGTTTTGGTTCGGTTTGGTTTCGCTGCTGTGGGAATGGCTTTTTTCTAGTTATTGTTGTGTTTTTGTTGTTTAGTTTGTTTGTGTTGTAGGTGTGCGTTTGTGTTTTTTCTTTGAAGAGTGTTATCTCCCGTTGGGGAGTGTGTATCTCCTGTTGGGGAGCGTGTATTCTTCCGCTGGGGAGCTTTTTATGTGGTTTGTGAGTTTGTAGTGTGGTGTTGTGTCATCTAGGCTACTTTGGGTAGACCTCCCCTTTGCGGCTCTGGTCGATTATAATTATGTGTTTTTAGTTATGATAACTATCGTTTAAAAAAAAAAAAATACACAATATGGCATAATTGACAATTCTCTCATCCTCGCTCGGTGTTGCAGCCATATCAAGGTCACGTCCTACTAGTTGCGATGCAACGAGCAAAAAAAAGACGAACATTTTTTTTCATAGAGTTGCATTATACACTCACATATGTACACAATATGATACACATTATTCTAAAAAAAGTGCTTACGAATATATAATATAATTGTTTCAATATCACAAACATAAAATACCCAAAAACTAAGGAGGATTCTGCTTATGACATATTTTGTTGATTGTGTGCTAGTGAAACGGACATGTACCATCATGATAAGTGATATACATAATATTCAGATCCTGCAATTTTTCTCGTGTTTGAAGCCTCTTTCCTAAAGAATCCTCAATTAACAAACCCTCATTCTTGCCTTCTTCTTTGCGCCTCCTCACCGCCATTTTGCACTCCGCCTCTCCGTGGAGATGATCGGCTCCCGGGTGGAACATTTGTTGCTGCTAGTTCTTGGTCACATCTCCCGACGCGGATCTTTCCACTCAGAGGGAGACTTTCGCAGGATTTGTCGACGGCTGGTTGACGAAGACGGTTTTGAGGGCTCCTTTTGTCGACCTTTTGGTGGCTGGTGCTAGGGCCAGTTTTTTCATCCCTTAGGTTTTTCCATTTCTTTAGGGTGGGGATAAAAAGTCTCCTCTGGCGGGGCCTTTTCATCTTCGTTGGTGTTGGCCTGGGTTCGCTAGTGCAGTGTTGGGGAAGGTTGGTGGTCGGCCTTAGGGCCGGCTTTTTGGGAAGGCAACATAGGCCCATGCCTAGGGCCTCCATATATTTGGGGCCACATTTTTTTTTTAAGAAAATATTATGTATTTGTGTTGCGTTTGACATATTTACACAAATGAAGAGTTTAATGGCTAAATATGGACTTGATCCATTACACAAATAAATGGGCTAATTAACAAATGGGTTAATGGCAAAATGTACATTGTGTGGGAAATTGAGGCCTTGAATATTTTATTTATTTTCTTACGAAGTTCGGTCAGAACAAGTTGTGTGAGAATAAAAATTTTTATTTGCTTCTCCTTGTTGTCTTCGTGACTGCTTGAATGTAATTTGTTTAAGATCTTTTGTAACTGTGAGGTAATTTATCAATTCCAAAGTCTAGAAAATTAAGAAAACTCATTTTTTTTCAAGTAGTTATTTATTTATTTAATAGTCTTGTTTAACTAGGTTTTTTCTTCTATGATTCTATATGCAAATAGACCTAATTACCATGCAAATTCAAATCGAGAAATTCGAAAAGGAAAAACTTATCTGGGGCCTCCAAATTTCTGAAGATTGTCCTAGTCGGCCTCCAGGTGGTGAGGCCTATGGAAGAGGGCTTCGGTTTTGTCGTTCTAGATCTAGTCAACCTTAACCATTACTTGAGAGTTGGGAGTTTCTAGACCTGAGGGCCGTGGAACTTGTCTTTCTTGGGGGTCATCTCAGGTGTTGTCTTCGTGTGGTGGGTTTTTGGAGTCGCTGGAGGGCTTTATTTTTATTGTATTAGTTTTTTAGCTTTTAGGTGTGTGCTCTATGTCTGTGTTTGTCTGTGTAGTGACCGCGCGTCGCGACGCGGCAAACTTAAATTTATAATTTTTCCTCAACTAACCTCTACTAACTAGTAGTAGTGGCGAGTAAGGGTCGATCCCACGAGGAGCAGGAACTAAATTGTGATAATTTCGTATTAATTGAGCTAAATTAAGAAAGCAAATAAAGATGGGGGATTGATTTTGATAAAAATAAAAATAAAAATAATAAAATAAAAATCAAATAAAATAAGAGAAGTCCAGTTTTCAGTTCAATTATCACCCAATCTAAATCTACCGTTAATCAATTTCAACGCCTTCTTTAAATTGCTAATAAATTACCGACCCTAACTAACAACAAGCTCTGTTAACCGAATTTTCCCTTACTGAATATTAATCGAAATAGGCTCTTCGACTAAACCTAACCAGTGGACAACCTAGAATAAGCTCTCTAGATTTAGTACACTAGCAGCATTAATCTCTAGGAAAATAGATCAGTCTAAG